GCGCGCGCTTTAATCGTTGAATATACTCAATTTCTCGCTGTCAGCATCAACAGACCTACTCTGCCGTGCTAAGGAAGAACTAGAGTCCCTTTATAATGAGAGTCAAGACAACACTCCTCATGGAGTCACAAACGGGAATAAAGATTACACAAATTGAACGTTTTTCGTAATCTTTGATCGGCCCATTCTCAAATTCCTTTCTCCGTTCCTTCCCTCATTCCGTTTGTTCCTTGCCGAACCCGTAATTCCCTGGTTCATTCCAGATTATAATCTTTGCAATCGGCAAAAATGTAATCTTTATTCCCGTTTGTGACACTGTGAAGGCCTAAAATACGGGAACCAATCAGAAATGGATTCACATTGTCTTGACTCTCAGTATAAAGGGACTCTAGTGCTAAGAAAGAACGCTGTATGAACATTCGAGAGTTGCCAAAATTCCTTCACTAAAATGTTCATTTTTGAGAAAATTTATGAATATTTCTCCTTAAAAATTTCAGGAACTTTGGGCGGGTTGGGCCGCGTAGTGGCCCGGGAGGTGCGGGCACCCCGTTGTTTCTTTTTGTTTTCTTTTCATCGCGAGCCGGCAATTATGATCGAGAGCTTTGATTGAATGACAGGCGTAGTAACGTCTCTTGCCCTAATGTGGCGAATGATGCTCGAACATGCAAGCCGGAGATATTACCAGATTGACCGGCACTCTAACTTATCAATGACTGTCAGTTGTGTGCATAGAGAATGTGCTGACGATACACGGTGGCAGCTACGATAGGTATTAAGGTCACCCAGCACCGACGCGACGTTCCGTTCTCTCCGTAAAACTATACAAGTCAGTCAATTTATAAAAATCTTTTTAATACGTCAGGCTTGTTCATTTAAATCATCCACCAGTGGCGTGGCGGGAACTGCGATACATCGATTACGATGCCATTTAAACCTATGGAAAAGGATCGATAAACAGGGTGTTCGCAGCGAACACCTTAATAATCGATTCTTTGCCATAGGTTTAAATGGCATAACAATCGATGTATCGCAATTCACGCCACGCCACTGTCATCCACCTGCGTGTTCCTGGCAAGTTAATTAATAGACGAGAGAGGAACGGATGTTCCCAAACAACGTATTGATTAACGATTGCCCGTATTGGAGAATACGTTTGTGTGCCCTTCGAAGACTGATTGGAAAATATATTGAGTTATTTTGTAATATTACTGTATCCATATACCTATGAACTCTGGTAAAAATTGGCGATGGGAGCTGCGTTTCTAAATACCATTGGAATTCTTATAGCCGACTATAGAAGACGATAGAAAATCATACAGCCGGCTGTAGAAAGCGAAGGAAACCATACAGCTGGGCCATACGAGGCTATAAAAACTTATACAGCCTGGCAATAACACCTATCGCCGGGCTATGGTTCCCATCGCCCGGCCAACTGCGAACCCAACTGTCTGAAAATTTTGAAGAGAAGTATTCGCAATTTTCCTGGTAAACTCGATTTACATTGAAGGAAATGTGACGACGTCTAAATGGTCCTTAAATGGTCTCTAAATGGTCCTTAGCGCGGCAGTACGGGATGTCGAAGAAAACCGTATCGGGAAAATTCAGTCGCAACAGCAGTGCTCTCATTCCCCGGAGCGTGTTCAGAATTCCGGAACTTTTGAGAATTTCCAGACTTTTTCCCGAAACTTTCGGAATTTCTGTAAAGTTCCGTAAAGTTTGCATTTTCCGGAACTCTCTCGGAACGTTTAACCAATTCTGACGGTGATAAAGCGAGAGAAATTGGAACGAAAAAGTTCCGAGTTCCGGATTTTTTGAGATTTTCCTGGATTTTTTCCTGAACTTTTGAAATTCCCGAGATGTTCCGGAACTTTCGAATTTTCCGGAACTTTCTCGGAACTCTGGAAACAACCTAAAAATAATCCCGGAACTTTTGACGGTCATGGAGTGAGAGAAATTGGAACAAAACAGTTTCGAATTCCGGATTTTTTGAGATTTTCCTGGATTTTTTCCTGAACTTTTGAAATTCCCGAGATGTTCCGGAACTTTTGAATTTTCCGGAACTTTCTCGGAACTTTTGAAACAATCGAAAAATAATCCCGGAACTTTTGACGGTCATGGAGTGAGAGAAATTGAAACGAAAAAGTTCCGAATCCCGGAACTTTTGACGGACATGGAATGGGAGCACTGCGTAACCGCTCTCTTGACTGTGTAACAGGGAGCCCTTCCAACGTCACCAGGAGCGTCAGCGCGGCGACGACGACGGCGACCAACGCCGAGCCAAAACACGGAATTTGTTTTTTATTTTGAGCCTCGATCAAACCGTATTCCGATAACGAAATTAATGGGATCCTCAGGAGGGGAGCGCGCGTTGCACGTGGGAATCGGGGGATTATTTTTATCCGGTCATCCGTCACACACCGTCACCTCGCTCCCCGAACAGCGCAACCGCAATTCCGAGCGGGTCCTTTGGGGCCCTCTGACTTATCGCTCTCCAGGGCTCACGCCACATCGCAGTCACGGGTTTCTCATCGGCGGGGTGACGAATGCTCCACGGCGCACGGTGGATCGAGTCAATTGGGGAGGTCGGAAAAAAAATTTGAAAACCACGTATCTCGGTTTGCGACGTCGCAGACTTCCTGTCATACTTTATTTTTTAAATGAAAAACCACTTAACATCCAGTCTTGAAAATTTCTGTGATTTTTCCTCTTTGTGCGGAGAAAATTCCGTGAAAATTTCAAGGAATGATATCGATTTGGTCTACTTCAAAAAAATAAAATGTGAGCGTAGATTTTTAAACACCGCAAACGAGATACGTGGTTTGGTAGTTTCACCGTCGAAATGCGACGTCTCAAAAATTTGAAAACTTTAAACGCTTAAAACTCCGTTTAAACACGTTTTCGATATTTTAAAAATGGTTCCATTGATTTCCTCGCGAAATTTTATTCCAGGAGCACCCCCATAAACAATACAAATGCGACGTCTCAAAAATTTGAAAACTGTAAACGCTTAAAACTCCGTTTAAACACGTTTTTGATTTTTTAAAAATTGTTCCATTGATTTCCTCGCGAAATTTTATACCAGGAGCACCCCCATAAACAATACAAATGCGACGTCTCAAAAATTTGAAAACTGTAAACGCTTAAAACTCCGTTTAAACGCGTTTTTGATATTTTGAAAATGGTTCCATTGATTTCCTCGCGAAATTTTATACCAGGAGCACCCCCATAAACAATACAAATGCGACGTCTCAAAAATTTGAAAACTGTAAACGCTTATAACTCCGTTTAAACACGTTTTTGATATTTTGAAAATGGTTCCATTGATTTCCTCGCGAAATTTTATTCTAGGAACACCCCCATAAACAATACAAATGCGACGTCTCAAAAATTTGAAAACCTTTAACGCTTATAACTCCGTTTAAACACTATATTGAGATTTTAAAAGTGGTTCCATTGGTTTCCTCGTGAAATTTCCTTCGAGGAGCACCCCTGTAAACAGTATAAATGCGGCATCTCATGAAACCCTCCCCCTCAACATGCATCTGATAGGAGTGCGACGTTTCCCGGTGTTCAGAACGCGTCACAGCGACTACGTCGCACACTGGGCCGAATCAAAAGGAGGAGTCGGACAAAATCTGGAAACTTTGAAAGCTTGTATTTTTGAAATTATGAGACCAGAAAAGCTTAAAAGTGGTTTCGTTGGTTTTTCGTGAAATTCTCTTGCAGAAATATCCCTTAAAATTGAATTTGTGACGAGATACACATAAAAATTCGAAATTTTGGCCAAAAATGTCATGACCGACTTATTCTATTGGCTCGTGCCACTGTGCGACGCCGCACAATGGATCGAGTCAATCAGAGAGGTCGGACTTGAAATTTTTGACCAAAACTGCTAATTTTGATGTTTATTTCGTCACAAATTTAATTTTAAGGGGTGTTTCTGTAAGGAAATTTCACGGAAAAACCAATGAAACAACTTTCAAGCTTTTTTGGTCTCATATTTTCAAAAATACAAGCTTTCAAAGTTTCCAGATTTTGTCCGACTCCTCCTTTTGATTCGGCCCAGTGTGCGACGTAGTCGCTGTGACGCGTTCTGAACACCGGGAAACGTCGCACTCCTATCAGATGTATGTTGAGGGGGAGGGTTTAATGAGACTCCGCATTGGTACAGCATTTCGGCAAGTGGCAATTCCTAACTTGGCAACACTGTATTTTTCTCAATTTAAGGTGGATTTTAAGCGTTAATTTGGAAAAAATTACCCCGTCGCGCTGTCAAAGTGCGGCTCCAAAAGTTGAGATTTAAAGAGATTACGGACATGTCGGTATTCTTGAGGTTAGGTCAAGAAAGCTTTTTGGACAGGCAACCTATGAATTCAAATTATACAGAGTAACTTCTTATTGCAATGGGTCTGTTCCAAGCTAGAGGTACAGCCAACTGAATAAAATATCTATGGCTTTATAAAGTAACTTTCTCACTACGCACCGCTGGACCGTTATTAATACCCATCAATCAATCTATAGGCAAAAATAATTCTTGTAACTCAAGCACAGCGGTAGATTGTCGATCCAGAAAATTCTCGTCATCAAAGGCGGATCCAGACACCTTGAACTGGGAGGGGGGTCGTAAGGGGGGTCCGTGGGCCTCTCCCAGAAATTGGTAAATTTTTGAAGCATCTAATGTGCAGTTTGAGTCAATTTCGTCTTGAATAATTACCAAATGTTAGCGTCTTTCCTTCTTTTTTCCTCCGTTTTTTTCCTTCTCCATTCTTCTCTTATTCCTCCTTTTTTTCAGGCGAACGGGGGTCGGGGCGCAGGCGCACCCCTACGCCCCTTTTGGATCCACCTACGTTTGTCATATGGATTAATCTGGGTTTTTGTCCCCCTGAATTTATATTCAAAGTTTAATCTTTCATGGCCGTAAAATGCCATACCTAGTTCTCTTACGCTAGTTGTATTGATTTTGTTCCCAATTATAACGATCCTTCTTTTTTTGTTCACAGGTACGGTTTGGATTTTTGCAATCAAAATTCAGAAACATCCGATCTCGTAATGAGTTCACTTCTCAGGTACACTTCCACATACACATACTTTCTCATTAGTATCATCAAAACCTGAATTAGAACTTTTACTTCCCCGTAAAAGTTATTATGCATGTAATAAACTTTCATCCATGCTCATTGATTTTTCATATTTTGTTGAGTAAGGAAAGTGTTGGAGAGCGCCCTAGTGTGCTGTTATAGCGAATTGAATGTACGTTAGTAAAACTGTAGCATCTCATAAATTAACACCAAAATAACATTTTGTCACCGAGACCTGTTTTTAAAATTATTGATCCGTCAAAATCGCTGAAGACAACTTACAGAAAACACTCTTAAGATCACAGAGAAATTACTCAAAATCGTAAATTAATGTTTCGCTTAATTAACCAGTGCATAAGAAACTAATGTTAGTATTTTGATACATGTTTCTTAACCAGAATTTCTCGTTAAGCACGATTCGCGTAACGAAAATTACTGGGGTTAATTCCCAGTTAATATATGAACCTTTTCTAGTTCCTATTGGTTGCGGAAACTTTGAACTCTCCGCTCACAAGAAAAATTATTGTTTTTCTACTTGAATGGTCCTCTTGAATCAAATCGCGCAACGGTACAACGATTTTTGGAGGTGTCTTTATCAAGCAACGTTACTTTTCGCGCTCTGTGTTGTTCAAAGTGTTAATAACCTGCAACAGCTGAACCAAAGCACCCAGATTCAGTTTTCCTAAATTTCTTCGCAGAGAGACAGTTACGGTAACATTTAGTGCACGAATCGACTCAAACAAACCTTTGTTTTTCCATGAGTGGGAGGTCTAAAATATTTCGGTCAGGATTTATGTTTCAGTAATTTCGTTGCGTAAATGGTGTTGTACGTAAAATGTTGGCCAAGAAACACGTATTAAAATGCTTAAATTCGTACCATGTCTAGCTAGTGGTCCATTTCCTTCCACTCCATATATACGATAATTCGTCAAGAAACATCAACATTTTACTCATGCTTTTTCTTTTCGAAACGAAGATTTTACTTTTACCATGAAAATTTCATGAAATTTCGTTAAATCCTTGCTTTATGAGATTTTGCACCTCCGCTGGGAACCATGACAGACACCATTCGTGCTGTTTCAAAATATGCAAATTGTAAAAGATTAATCGATAATTTTTAATTCGATTCGATAATGGATTTTTCGATTAACCGATAACTCAGCTAATCGAACACCTCTCGCTGCGTAACGCTGGCAAAGACCTCTATCCCTCCACCAACCTGCTCCAACCCGCCTCCCTTCCACCTCTCACCCTACTCACCCACCCCTCGGAGCTTTACTGACTTCAGGGATGACCCTTTTTCTAAATGCTGATGTGCTCTTAGGAAAAGAGCATCGTTGCATCGGATGACGCCACAGTTTATACGTTCGGGAAATTACCAGACCTCCGCCTTTACTTTTTTTCCTCCGCGCCGAACAATTTCTCCGAAAGCGAGCAGCTCTTATCCACCTAAAACGCTTTAATAATGCAAATCGCTTGGCGCGACGTTTCCTTTTTGTTACGACTTCCGCGCCCGATTTCATTTCACTCATGTGGAAAATGGCCTGAGGGTTTTTTTTATTTTTAATTTTTTCGAAAATCTGGCATCGTCCCCCTGCAGCCGGAGTAACGCTATGTTGCGTTAATTTTTTATCCGCTGAGCAGGGTGAATGCATTTCATTACAAGGCGCCATCCGCGAATGAGGAGATACGGAGATTAGATAATCTGGAGCATGCACGGATTAACTTGGGACTGTGCGTTCTAAATTGGAATTTCAAATCGCGAAGACTCTTATCGGGTTTGGACCAGAACTCGTCGTCGTTTTCCTCAAGAAAAAGAGCGTAACTGCATTCCAATTTTGCCAAATTTCCCGTCGGTACTTGCATTGTTATACTAATAGAATCTTCTTTGACATGTCGTCGTTCCCTCAACGGAAGAGCTTAATCATATTTCAATGTTGCCAAATCTCCTTCCGCAAATTGCATTGCCATCAGGAGAATCTTGGGCATTTTCCCGTGATATTTCCGTGATTTTTCCTCTGATCTCATGCAAAAATTAGTAAAATTTTGGACCGAAACTGAATTGGTACATTTTTATAAAAATTGGATTTTTACAGCCAATTCCGCAACCTTGGAACGGAGATACGTTCTTTCGTGCGGGGGAAAACGATGTTTGACTGAAAATTTCACTCTGATCTTTCCTCTGATCTCATGTGAGAATCAGATAAAATTTGGACGAAAATTACACGGATACTTTTTTGTCAAAAAATTATTTGCTTGGGTCATTTTGGCAACCTTGAGGTGGAGTTACGTTTCTTCGTCTGGGAAGTGACGAATTGGAGCTCTTCCAGAGCGCCAAAAAGCTTGTAAAATAATCTTTAAAACGTGAAAGCACGTAAATTTAAAGCGTTAATAAATTCGAGGTGCGGAACGCTTATACATCTGAGCACAGCAGAAAATCGATCATCTTGCAGATTATCTTAAATAGACCAGCCGCAGACAAGGCACGAATTATATTATGTATAAAAAAAAATGAAGCGGGCTCATTTATGGACTTTCACGTTCACCCATCGATAGCCGCAAATGTCATTGTAATCAGGTCAGTTGAACGGTAGAAGGAACTTTGACAAAAATAAAAATTTAGGAGGTCAGAGAGCTTTTATAATGATACCTGAAAAGGTAGGCATCACGACTGAATTAGAATACCTAAGCATATACGGAGAGTACAGACAAGTCGAGCTCTATGGTCGACACCGAAAAATGAAGAAAATTCAACGATTCAAGCGAGCACCGTGGTTTATGCGCAATGCTTGAAGTATTCTTCCAGTCTTGTAGGCGCTGATATGCGTCTCATGCTCTCATGTCGACTGCACTGTATTTAGAGCAATGCGTGAAGTATTCCTACGGGTTTGTAGGCGCTAATGTGCGTTTCAAACCGACCGCACCGTGTTTGTCGCGATTATTTGAACTCGTGTTAGAGTAATTGCGCCATTAAATAGTAGAGCTCAAGTAAAATACGTGCTCTACAAACGACGTGTCGTAACTTTTGTAATAATAAATGGACCGAGTTCATCAGAAAGGAACCAACCCACATCAACTTGAAACTGAGAAAAAGAGGTTTGATGTTTTATTCCTGCATAAGGCTCAATGTAGAAAATAAACTCGAACCCCTCTTTTCGCAAACTAATTTCCTTTTTTCAACTTTCAGTTTTTGGCAGAAGAAAATATACGACTAGTGGAACTCAAAAACACTCTTAACTCAATTTTTCCGAAAATAAGGGTTGGTTCCTTTCCGATAAACTCGGTCCAAACCACTCTGAATAATTTGAATTCCTAGGTTGGCTGCCTTTTTTGGCCCTAAAAGCTCAATGACTTAACCTCAACACCACCAACATGTCCGTACTCTCTTTGTTCAGGTACTCTAGAGTCTAGACGGAATGCTCTCCGACTAACCAGAGTCCCTTTATACTGAGAGTTAAAACAATGTAAATCAATTTCTGATTGGTTCCCGTATTTTAGGACTGCATGGTGTCAAGAACGGGATTAAAGATTACATTTTCACCAATGGACCTGTTGCAAACTTTTGCTAGAGCAAAAATAAGAGTTGTTTCTTGTAGATAATGCCTCAAAAATCACGATGAGCGCATCGGCAAAGTCTCCAATGCACTCATAACTTCACAATCTGCGTAAGAAATTTGCGTTTTTTTAAGCTTCCCGCTTCAAAAACGATACTACGGCACAGGTGAACATTTTGTTAGAGGAGTCGCTCCATCGTCGGCGATATTCATCATGGCCGACGCTTGCGCGCAGTTCCGCGCGTAATTCGAGGAGAGTTCAAGGTCAATCAATTCGGGCGTGGAAAATATGAACGTTAACACACCGATTGTTATCTGGTCTAATCCAGTTCAGGTGTTATCTCGTCCCATCAAACGTGTTTTGGCGGATTGGCGTCGGCCATGATGATTATTGCCGACGATGGAACGACTCCTCTTACAAAATGTTCACCTGTGCCGTAGTATCGTTTCTGAAGCGGGAAGCTCAAAAAACCGCAAATTTCTTACGCAGACTGTGAAGTTATGAGTGCATTTCAGACTTTGCTGATGCGCTCATCGTGATTTTCGAGGCATTATCTATAAGAAACAACTCTTATTTTTGCTCTAGCAAAAGTTTGCAACAGACCCATTGCAAAGATAATAATGTGGAATGGACCGAGGAATCACGGGTTCGACAAGGAACAAACGGAATGAGAGAGGGAACGGAGAAAGGAATTTAAGAGTGAGCCGATCAAAGATTACGAAAAACTTTCATATATATATATAAAGTCGCTTTATAACGCACTTTGGCGTTCTACGACACCCAAACGCCACATATGCCTGTCTTCCCAGATAGAGGTTATCGGGCAACTGACACCGCAACATCTCTTCGTCAACGCCCTGCCGCCAACCCTTTACGGGACGTCCCCGTCGCCTCTTTCCCAGGTGGTACCCAATCCAAAACTTGTTTGGGCAACCTCTCCTCCGACATTCTTTGCACATGTCCATACCAGCATAACTGCCTGGACATGACGTCGTGCACGATATCTTTCTCAACCTTCATCAACGAAAAACTTTCAATTTGTGCAATAATTATTCCCGTTTGTGACTCCATGAGGGGGGGGGGGTTGTCTTAACTCTCAGTATGAAGGGACTCTTTGACTAGAGTCCCTTTATACTGAGAGTCAAGACAACACCCCCTCATGGAGTTACAAACGGGAATAAAGATTACACAAATTGAACGTTTTTCGCAATCTTCGATAACTTCATTTCCGAATTCCTGTCTCCGTTCCTTTTCTCGTTTCGTTTGTTCTTTGCCGTGTCTCTAATTCCCCGGTCCATTCCAGATTATAATCTTTGCAATCGGCGGAAATGTAATCTTTATTCCCGTTTGTGACACTGTGAAGGCCTAAAATACGGGAACCAATCAGAAATGGATTCACATTGTCTTGACTCTCAGTATAAAGGGACTCTACG